AATTGTTAGAATTTTAACCAGAGACTCAAAATCAAAAAGGAGAATCAGAATAAATGCAAATAAGCTTTAATGAGATGTTTATAACTGTATAAATATTGGTACTTACCAAATTCCATGTTTTCTTTTTTTTTTTCTCAACTCTGTCTCCACCCTCACACTTTTTTCCTCTCACTTCTGCCTCCATCTCCTTTTCTTTACTTTTCTCTGCACTTTCTCTCCTCTCTGTCTCTCCCCAGTGTAGCTACAAGGAGTCCTGCTAGAGGATTTGCGGTCTGTCAATGAGGAACTACCGGCTCATCTTCTGCCACAACCTGAAGCAGCCATAGATGGTTCAGTGGTTCACTGGCCAGGGGAGGAGAGGATAGGTTACACTTTCACTGCTACACGGTGAGTACACACACACACACACACTGTACCAGGTGACATTGAGGTATTGTGTGACTCAAGTTCAAAAACCTGTTGGAAAAGAAAAACTCTACAGTCTTAGAAACATTGATCGGCCATAGAATTGCAATTATAGACCTGTAGACTTTCCCTTTTCTCAGACACTTCAACATACACTCTGAGATTTTCCTAATAAAGTGCTTTACACAGGTGTAAATGCATATGCAGATCATTATCATATTGCTATTCGTCTTGTCCCTTTTCCCCTCCCACCTCTCCTCCTCCTCCCTCTCCTCGGTCTTGGCTAGATGACAGGCAGGGAGGTTTACCGTAACATGCAGCAATCAGTCAAACCAACCATTTTATGTTCAGATGTGGTAAACACATCTTGTTTATTGTGGACAGCAGAGATGTTTGGCGTCATGTCATCTTTCTTTTTGTTATCTCCACCTTTTCTCTGTTGGTCTTGGTCATTGTGTTTTCTCCACTCTTTGGTTTGCAGTGGGAGTATTAGCGAAGATGAAAAATGTTTTTCTTTGCTAGGCTTCATCTTTCACCAAAGCTCTTATTTTGTAAGTCCTGCCATCTCACTTTGTTGTCTTATCTCCTTCCCTTTTTTCCCTTTTCTTTTCAAAGACGTGAGGTCTTGGCGGGTTTGTGGTGAGGAGGTGGAGGAGGCGGCCATGAGGAAGAGCGTGTCTCTGTTGCCAGGCAATGAGGGCGGGAGCTCGGCCAGCACCACACGGGTTTTTGGTGTCCCCTTGGAGGAGGTGTCACACACACACACAATAGGTGGCCATGAGGTTCCTGCACTGGTGAAACACATTGTCGACTACATCGAAGAACATGGTGAGTGACCGACACCAACAAACAATATAAACACACACTACAAAACATACCAATATTCCTTAAAAAGTTGCTTTTTCCCATTTGTGCAAAATATCAAATCAATATCCCAAAAATAATTCATATGTGAATCACTGCCGTAAATCAGAATGCACAAATCCAAAATACATTTGAATGTCTAATATGCCAATCAAATCATAGTCTTGATACAGTATGTGTTTTCATATGATTCATACACACCCACGTGATGGATTTGTTTGCAGGAATTTAATTAGGTGCATTTGAGTCAGTTGAGTTATAATCTCAGTCCTCTTTACTGCCTTATATATATATAACTGATATATATATATATATATAACTGATGAATCAGTCATAAAGGAATTATTATAAAGGAAAACAGTAACTGAATTACTTACTGTGTTACTGTAGCAGAGAATATAAGGTAATTCCTGCTGATTGAAACCTCATGACACATGCTTTAATATGGCATCTTTAATTTGATTAGGTTGTTTTCTATTAACATGATTGAAATGGCAAATATTGATTAACTTACTGGATAAGTTTTACATGGACTATGTTTGGTTAATGTTTGTGTCTGTACAGATTATTTAGCATTGTGTGTTGTTTAATAAAACACAGAGCCATAGTGACACACACACACACACACACACACACACACAGCTTCTGTTGACCTGCCATGGCTTTCATATGTCGTTAGGAGAGATGTAGTTTATGTTAAGATGAACTCTGAATGCACCGACAAAGTCTGCTTGCGCCTTCATTACATAACCATTCTGTCAACTGCAGGTCTATTTTCCTTTGTAGCCGACTTTTTGTTGCATGTCGTACAAGAAGCTGACAATGAAACAATGACACACTGGTTTTAAAGTGAACCGAGAGAGGGTGGAGTAAACAGTTGATAAACTGGTAAAGCTTCATTCTTAGCAAACATATACAGTCCAAACGCCCCATATATGTCTGTCTGTCTGACTTGGATTCTGAAAACAGGAAGAAAAACATTAAGATTATCTACAGGTCAATATGCCCACATGCCTGTCATTGCTGCCACATATAGTTTGTGGCCCACTCATCGTATATATATATATTTAATTACATCAGATTACCTTCTACAACACACACAGTCAGCTGTTGTTGACCTGCCATGACTGCTCTTGCATCAAAGATATAGTTTATGTTAAAAGATGAACTCTAAATGCACCGGCAGACACGGTCTGCTTCCTCCTTAATTATATAACCACTCTGTCAACTGCAGATCCACTTGTGAAAACAGAGGAGCTTAACCATGGGGAGAGGAAGCTACCAATAACGCTGGTCCTGGACCTTTTCCACATCCCCCCTGGATTATTTCTCTTCAGTCCTTGCAGAGCAGGGATGTTAGTTTTATGTCATTCTCTTTTTAAGCTTTATAAGTGCAGGTTAGCAGTTTCAGACATTTTTGCTCTGACAGATGGGAGGGATAAAAATGGCAGTGCCAGTTTTATTTTTTATTTTAAATGCTTTGATGCATTGATGGTGTGAACCCTGAAGAAATGGACTGAGTCATTTAGATTTGTTTAACTCGTTTCACAAATCGGATTTTCTCTGGTATAATGACTAATTTTACAAAAACGTTAATTGCACACAAAAATCAATTAGTATAATTAATTACTCTCTGTCTTACAGTTGAAGTAGCAGCTATACAAATGCCTCCAATGTGTTGTATAGGAGTTTTCATTGGCCTTGGGCTTGTGAAATCCAGCACACCAAGAAAGGATTTCTAACTTACATCTACATTGACAAGTTAAACAATAGAGAAAGCTTCCTTTTCTTATTTCCTCCTTTCTTTGTGCAGTGAACACTCTCTGTCAGGACATTTTCTTGTCAAACCTGTCAAGACAGTTTTTTTCCCCCTGTTTTTTTTAACTATTGGAAGGAAGCTTCACTTAGAGTCCCCTTAAGTGACCAGTGAAGCAGGCCGGTGCTTTGTTTGACACTGGGGCTGCTCGACCACATGAGGTTATGTAATAAGTCTCTAATCCCCCAGGGCTCTGCTGGCAGCAGCACTGCCAGTCCAGAAGTTATTGAGCCAGTGAAAAGGTCATTTGCATGTGATGCTGGAGGTTTTCAGTAGAAGCAGGGTGATGGAAATATGAGGTAACCAGGTAATTCGATATTAAGGCAGAGATGGAAAATACAAAGCACCTCTGTGACAGATTAAATTCCTTACATTGTTTGGACAAGGACTAAATGCTTTAGCAGATATTTTGTTGTGTTCCACAAGACTGAGCAAGGTTTAATCAAATCAGTCAATCAAATATGTCGGGAGTCAGAAGGACTAACCAGGCAGTCGTTACATAATCCTCGGTCACAACATATTACCACTTTTACATCTTAAAACAATGCCTATTGTGTTTATAACCTCAATTTTCTTATGTCTTTGTCTATTAAACAATAAAACACATTTATACTATTCAATGCCATTACAGTAGCCTTTGAGTGTGACCCTTTTGGAAGGGGTGTTAACATTTATGTACGGAACCTCTACGGACAAACAATTAGTTTGAAGCATGTTTATCCCTTTTGGCTCAACAGGTCAACTGATTTCTTCTGAAAACAACAAAAAGTTTAACTTAACAAATCAATCTGCATAATCTTATGGGAGCTTGGAGTTAACATAGACAAGAGTTTGGTTATCGATGGCTAAGTGATTATTGTTGTTTCTATCATCAGGTCATCTGGACCTGGAGGGGCTCTTCCTGGTTAATGGCAACGCAGAGCGTGTGGATTGGCTGCGTCAGCGCTATGACAGTGGTGAGGAGGTGGAGCTGGAGAAGGAGGCTGACCTGGCGTCAGCGGTCAGTTTGCTGCGGCTCTTCCTGCAGGAGCTTCCTGAGCCCGTTATTCCAACAGCGATACAGGGACACATACTACAGCTACACCAAGGTGTGTTTGTAACAGGGACTTCTTATCCACCTCTAACGCTCTTATGTATATTTCTCCTAACACTCGCCCCACCCTCTTTTGTCCACTCCACAAGTACATTTTGTGTATTGTTTGGGTTTTTTTGGTGCTGGTTGCAGATACTGATCCTTTTTTTTTTTAGCTTCCATTCAGTGTGAAGTTTGATGGTTTTGTAAATCCCCTGTTAAGATCCTGATCTGACCAAATATCTAGACACAAAAATAGAAGCGAAACACACTATTGTTCACCATTTTTGGATTTCTTCAAAGATGGTATTACATTTGGTGGTATTACATGACTGTGACTACGGAGACAGATCAAAGCTAAGCTGTGAATACATGGTACAGTGGTCAGATCTCTAATTGAAGTGGAAACCAGCTAAAACAAACTTGTTCCAACCATGAACCTGGATGTCTCTGCCTCTTCTGTTCCTTAGAGTGGCTTTGCTTTAGGTTATATTCTTTTGTTTTAGACATTTTTGGAAAAACAAAGAAAAGATAATCATGATCAGTGTTTTTCTCAGAATTATTTTTTATCTGTGGTGGCAGCTTCCGTAAGGGTCCAGCTCTGGACAGGTCGGTGAACCACTTCAGACACATGCACACCCTGAATTGGCCAAAAAAGAGAGAGGCTGTGATTCTGCAGAGTTCTGCCTCCCTTCCCAGGAAAACATGAAAAAAACGTAATAACTTTTTGGAGTTGTCTGATGGAGCACCAGTCCGTCTATGACAGACGGGTCTGTTGTCTATGTGTTTCTAAGAGAGATAAAGAGAGTGTGACAGTGTCGACAGTGAATCACTGCAGACAGCTCCACGAAGCAACAGAGCAAAACACAAAACACTTACACATCTGTCGTGTATTTAGGGGAAGTATAATTTTATTTTGGTTCCTATTAAAACAAAGGGAAACATCGAAGTATATGGCTGGTATTTTGGAATTTACCATTAATGGTTCTTCTGACCAAAATCAGATGAGGAAGTCAATCAGGAATTATACCTGTTTAAATGAACAATGTAAATAAACACCTGTACAAATGTTTCACATGTGCTTTGTTTCTACTCTTTGCTTTAACTTTTACATTTGTTTCTGTCAGAGAGAATCTGCTTTAATCCTCTTCTCATGTAGATGGTTGTTCCTGTTGCTGTCATGCAGATTACAGCAGCAGTAATGTTTTTACAGGCTCTCCATTTCATGTCATTCATTTCTAACTCTATTCTATCATGGGACTACTGTACTACAAAAGGAATTACTTATTCCATAGTCCATATCCTCTTTCTCTTCATTTCACCTCAGAGGGTTGAACACAGTCTCAACTGTGAAAGAACACAAAGGAGAACCTATGATTTACACACAGTAAAATGTGGCATGTACAAAGTGCACTAGAGCTAATGTAAATTATAAACCAACTCCCTTTTGCAGTAAAACTGATTACAGTGATAACATTAAGAGATGTGCAATGGAGGAGGTTAGAAAAATGTTAATAGACATGTAGAATCATAACCACAAGTCTATTTTTAACCATCCCCAGATTACAGCAATGAGGAGGAGTTGTGTAGAAACTTGAAGTACCTGCTGCAGCAGCTTCCCCAACTGAACTACGGCCTGCTGCGTTTCCTGTGCCGCTTCTTGGCCAGCGTGGCATCACTTCAGCAGGAGAGCTGGAACGTTGGGGCGCTGGCCGCCGTCTTCGGGCCAGACATATTCCAGTAAGATGCCTGCACAGGGCCATCTAATAATTGTGTTTAATACGATCACTGTGCCTTTGTAAAATTATCTAAACTGTCATGTATTATGTGCAGAGGGGAGGCAAGAATGTTTACTCATAATTTCCCCTCTATCCAGACAGGTTGTCTTGCTTTTTGTGTTGTTTGAATTCATACTTCTGAGCGTGAAGTCATAATTTACAACAACAGAACTGCCTGCTGAATTTTATGCATTCCAAGTAAAATAGTCTTGTTCGAATTGGCCCATGTCATCAAATCAACAAAAAGGTATCAGGATTGCTGAGAAATTGATTTCACTGTGACACTGCAGTTGATACAGCCACAGATTGGACCAACAGCTGTACGGCTATGCCTTCTTCATTTTACAATGATCAAGAAAGCATCCATATGTGTAAAACATATGTCACACACATAAGCACTTTCACAGAAGTTTATTCAGCTACTAGAATAATTTAATATCCATTGGGTGGCATTTCACAGTCAACACACCCCTTTCACGTCCTTTTTCTGCAGTCTGTCATCAGAAGGGGAGGACCTCCGGGACCAGGAGTCTGTAAGCAGAGTCCTGGCAGAGCTGTTGGACAACCAGGAGGGCCTGTTTGACTCAGAGGACGATGATGTCTCCACCACCAACGACTACAGCTCCATTAACGAACAGGTACTGCCCATCTCATCATGTCTCAGCATGTCTGCATCTTAGCTATCACTATTTCTTTTATGCTGTGAGTCACTATCCACTTGCATATCTGGTAATATACAAATAAACAGATGGCACACTTTCACATTGTATTGTACTTTTAAAAAAAGTTGTTTTATTCATTATTTTGTTAATTAACTTTCCGGCTCATGCACATTTAGTTTAAGCTGTCATAGCTAAAACATTTCATCACATCTCACAGAGAGGTTGTCGTCCTCATTTTAGTTTTAGGCCTCTCCCACCTACACATCCATTTTTCCCTTCTGCTGTAATGGTTCACTTTTCCATTCGGGACCAAAAAAGTGTGTTCCATCTATTAATCTTCACCTCTCCATTCAAACAAAAGAGGCTTTGTGGGTCTTAATCCCAGCCTATAAATCCACTGTTTATAGAATTAATGCCTTTGAAGGGATAATATATCGAGTGATGAATGAAATAAAAAAATTTGGGAAAAGTTTCAAAAAACAGTACAATAAAAAGCAAGATATAGTTTAGACATGCCACGATGTTAAGACTATGTTTTGGATGCTGTTCGCCAAATGTCAACATTCCGGACATATGAGCAAAGAATTTAAAAACCTCATCTTTGTCTTCTTCTCTTGTTTTTTTTTCTTCCTCTGTAATGACGCCCAAATAGTAGAATGTGGCATTTAACTCTGCCAAGGTCAGGGTTGAGATTCCTCCTGGGTTGAATCAGACTAATCCTTTGATAAAAAGTAGAAGATTGAAATTATGGTATGCCATTAGAATAGAGTACATAGTGGAAAAAGAGAGAGATTCGAGTGATAATAATGTTGCATATAAAGTTTATATATATCTTTGAATCCTCAAATGAATCATCTATTATTTTTCTGAGGTGTATGTTAGCATGCTTGATATTTTCAGAAGGATTTATATAAAAACAGACCTGCTACCGCACCAAATTTGCTTCCTGTTCAAAAGTGAACTGCACGAAAAATCTGTAAAAGGATTAAGAAGAGTCGTACAGGTTTTGATTTTCTCTATCATTAATTTGAATCATCAATATCTCCAGAAGTAGATGCATTAATAATTTGCCAGTGATTATTGATTCATATTTATTAAAAGATCTCGGTACATTAATTTAAATATTGACAGGAATTGAATGAATGTCTTGTAGTGTAGTGACTTCAGGCTGAGAATTATTCATTAGCTGCTTAGTGTATAGGAATGTAAGTAATGTTGTTCAGCTGTTCAGAAAGTTCTTGTGTCAACAAAATATCTTGAAAAAGAATCTGGAACAACACCCACTGAACACAGAGCTTTAGTTATACTCTGTGTCCCACCATACAAAAAGAATGCGACAGACTAAATAAACTGAAAGGCATTTCCCGTTGTTACCCGGCAACACAACAGTGCAACGAGCGGTAGTTAACATTTAACTTCAGATTTGCCTCATTACATTGTTATTACATTACAACGTGTACACAAACACGACAATCACTAGAAGGTTAGTTATTTCTGTCACATTTAAAAGGGGCATTGTCCAACACAGCATGCATCTTTTCAAACTAAAGTTTTATGTTGAAGTGAAAGGTTGCACACAGTCATTGTGAAAGTCTGGTCAGACCAAAAAGAGAAACCTCAGGACTTACAATAGGTCAACTATTCAAAAAACATTCTTTATGTCTGCTTTATTCTCCTCTTCACAAATTCCTTCCCTTTATGATACTTTAGCCAAGTTCGGCCAGGCCATGAAAATCTTTGCTTTCATTGAAAACTTGAGTCCTTCCTTAAATTGCTGAAAACATATAATCTCTTATAAAAGCTCTTGTTTGTAAAAGAAAACTAATCAGATTGAAATTGAGTTCAGCGCAGCAATAAACTAAAGAAACAAATCCTCCCATGCAAATCATTGAATTTAATTTCATTTTCCAAATTGAATCACCTTATCTATCTTTCTTTTTTCCTTCTGCCTGCCATTGTAAATTATATTGGCTGTTCTGTCAGATGAATGAGAATATAACATTATCCAGAGGAACCATGAGAAAAGGAGCAGAAGAGGACAAGGCGCTCTGAGAGACTGAGAGGAAAATCTGTAGAGACAAATCATCCAAGCAGCGATCTCTGTGTCTTATGTAAGAGAGAGGGCAGAAAAGTAGGAGGAGAACGCAGACAGGAAGATGGGGGAGAAATGGCGAGAGATAGGAGAGGAAAAAAAATAAACAAAGGGAGAGATGGTGATGGAGAGGAGGGATAAGAAAAAAAGGCTGGTGATGATGTAATTTTGCATCTCACACCTACAGCCCCTGCACTACACTGTGCATGGCTCTGTGTGATCAAACACTCATGGAGGGGATTATCTCCCACACACATGCTACATGCTTTGACTTTAAACCTTCAATCGTCGTCGAGGTTCAGAACAATTCAAATTAAACTACAGAAATAATTGGCAATGTAAAGGATAGAATGGGAGTTTAACCAAGAATCACATGAAAGATGTAGGATGTGAGGGAGAAGAATAGTGTTATTGTTGTTTTGTGGCATGTTTGGGACGAACTGTGGATCTCAGTGAGGCTGGCATGGGTCAGCAAACTGCCATGCTGGAGTTTGGTTCATTTGTTGACACAATACGAGTCAGTGGAATTCTGTTCTTTAGGTGAGCGTAAAAATTTGTCTTGTTGTTGTTGTTGTTGTTGTTGTTGATGACACCAGTGGTTGTGATTGTTTTGATTCAGCTATTGAAAAGTTTTTTTTTACTTCTGCGGCCTCTCGACACAGCAGGGAACAAATAAATCCTACTGAAAATCATTATTTGACCCGAGAGAACTCATTATAAGGGCTTGACTGTCAGGGTCAGTTTTGATTCCTCAGCACTTGTTTTCTAAGAAAGCACTACCAAAAGAAAACACATTGCAGTCATAATAAATATATTATGTCTTGTAGCATTATTAAGCCGTTTATATTATCCAGAGTACAAGTATTTGGACAGCTGCTCTTTTTTTTCAATTGAAAAAAAGTAATCTTAGCTACTACATTAAGGTGCAGAGTATCCAATTTAATTTGAGTATAAGGTATGGAAATATATATAATAGAAAAGAAGTGTAGCCCTATTAACTTATTCTCAAAGATTAAGGATTCCAATGTAAATGGACAGATGAACGTGATGTCAAACAAAATATTTTATTTAGTGTTTTGTGTGGTCAAGGTGATTGAGTCGGCCAATCAAGGACAAAGACTGTGACAGAGGAGGTGGTGACTCTGAATCACGAGCTGTTCCTCTTAATCTCCACAAGCTCCTCTTTCCATAATATTAATAGGGATTTCATTTATTTTGTCTTTCCATTTAACTTTGTTCCAGAACAAAACAGTTTTCTTTTAGTATGTTTTGAGTTCACTGCAGCCCAATCTTTCTGTTTTATGAGGTGTATCAGGGTGTTGCATCTCGTGGTGACTCGTCTGCAGTTATAGTCATGAAGTCTTCTCTTGTTAACAAGGAAACATGTACACATACACCTTGGAGAGTATTCTGTGCAGTTATAGACATGTTTTTCTTCACCATGCCAATTATTTTGTGCTCATCCACAAAACTTGTGTTCTAGTACACCCATGTTTTCTTTCGAGGCTGTACTGTTAATTTTGCACCCTCCACACAGTTCTTTCAATTTTGGCATAAACCCACTCAAAATAATAACAAGACTTGGCTCTTTATTGTAATATCCATCGTGTTATTTTAGATTAAATGTGCTGAAGCCCAGAGCCTGATGAACAACACATGTGTATCTGTCCAAATACGTATTGGAGCAGCAGCGCAGCCGCGGTGTGCAGTGACCGTGAAAAGCGAGCAAACTGTTCTGTCTTAACAAGGTCACATCCCAGTGTTTTGGACCTGCTGTGCACTTGGTTCGAGAGAAAACAAGAAATTATTTGTAGGATTGATTTGATTTGGTCACAGAATTTCTGACCTTTTCTTCCTAAGCTCCTTTCAGACAAAATACATAAATGTGGTGGTAATTACATAAGTTTCATGTCTGACAAAGATTTTTTCTTGTCGTATTTAGTGTCTGTAAAGGGCTTTGGTGGAAGCTGGCCTGCTAACACAGGACTGAAGATGGCCGATGGTCTACTTAATTAATTAATCCCTAAATGCCAGCCTTGCTTTACCATGTCTGTTAGTTTAACCTCAGCAGATAAACAAATCAGCATGTGCACTGTTCACTTCGCCTGTGCCAAGTTAGTCGAGTGATTCTGGAGCTGAGCCATGTTATAGCGAATGCACAACTGTACCCTGGACTGTGGACACTAATTAGGGGTGAATGGACATATAGCAGAAGATGTCCCAATGTTCAGTAGCAGGGAACATCTTATAGTAGGTTGGAGAATATATAATTATATGATTCGGTGTCACAGTCATCAGCTGTTGAGCAGTAACCTACTTGGAACATAGAGTTTTTTAAGGACGGGGTGATTGCCTAGTAAGACATTGCGGAGAGATGTTTAATATCTATATAGGGGACACATAGTACAAACACAACCCAAGTGTTGATGTATTCACTTTGACTGCATGTTACGAGTAGTCGGAGAGAATATGAATGTCCATAAATCAGTGGCATACACATTTTCTTAAATGGAAAGCTGCATCACACGGCCCACTCACTGCAGGGACGTTAGGCCACAGGGCTTATCTCCAGTGCAACTGCTGCTGCAAGTAAACAGTACAGTCAGCCACGGATGAGCGAGAAGAAATGTAGAATAGTTTAGAGGTTTTTCCAGTGCTTCAATTCTGCCACTTGAATACTAACATTTTTATTTTGAAGACACAATATTTTTCACATAACCTTCTCCTCAATGAATAGGATCAGATTCCTCTGCCAGGCAGGTTAGGTTTTTTTGCCCCTGTCTGTCTGTCTGTCTGTTTGTCAGCAGAATTACACAAGAACTCCTGAACATATTTTCACAAAACTCGGTAAAAGAATGGGACATCATCCACTTTCTTTACAGAGCTTCTTATTTATTTTTTTACATTTTCACCAATTTCTCAGGGAATAATTCATCGATCGTGATGGATGACATATTTAGGGGACTGATATCTATGAGATTGGGCAAATGAGTGCAGCTTGATTGAATTAATGTAGATTTTCACCTAAACCTCCACAATTAGATAAAACTTCAAGTTCTCAGAACTGTTGGTTTAAAATCAGGACAAACTTCTTCTTGATGTTTTTGTCACATTTAGTCATGGTCGAACCTGTACCATGAAAAACAAGTAACTCGCCTTCTTCCAAAGAAGAACAACATATTGATGTCGCCTAAACTGAAGGTCGAGTATAAAAGAACCTTGAAAACCACAGATGCAGGTCAGCTGCAGTCAGCTGTCATTGATATGTGTCCTTGCACCGGTAACAGTTCAACAGCCAAATAAATAAAGCCTCTAAATCTTGTTTTCCCCATTTTCCATCCTTAACCTTGAACACACTCCACACAGAGGTTTACCTCTGTATCACATTGACAAGCTCACTGACACATAATACACACAAACACTCCGCAACTGCTCCTTTTAAACTCAGTGATTTGTGCCTTAATGTGATTAAAATTTTCCACAGTCCTAATTAAGGGATAATATTTCCAGCCCTGTGAATGACCATGGCCGGTCATCCCGACATAGCATTTAACGACACTTATCCCCTAATGTTGTTACGTGCACTACGTGCGGTATTAATAAACACTTACAGCTCAGGTGGTATTTATACATTCCTGTTTTATTGTTCATTATTTCAGAGCTGTGTTTTAATGGGTGTCTTCTGTTTATACGGTGACATCCAGCCTCGTCTTTCCACGTCGCTGATCCGCGGCCTTGATAGAATATGCTCTTTGTAGCTGGTGTTTTATTCAGGGTTATAAATTCACCGTGTCCTTCATGCATATTACTGCAGAATGGCTCTGAGTGAATTTTTACATCATTATAATGGAGATCAGACTTTTCAGTTTGTATGTGTTAAAATCCTGCAGTTTTTATTCTGAGCTTTCCACAGTGCTGTTTAATTCAGTGGAAAGTTATCCCCCACCTCCTCGTCCCTCCAGATTGTTTAGATTTATTGTCTCGTCTGGATTA